TTATAAAGACGTGGTGCGACGCGACGCTGCGCTTCTCGTCCGGGGTGCGACCGCCTGAAACGAATTTTTGAAAAACTTAATTTTTTTCACCTCCGTGCCCAAACGTCTTTGTTTGGGCTTCCGAAAACGGATGATATCAAGAAACAGTGGTTGCAATTTATTTTTTAACTCTGTTCCTGAGCATTATAATCCCAATTTGCTATTGTGTGCTGCGCATTTTACTGAGGACAGCTTCCACAACATGAGGGAGTACAGTGCCGGATTCGCCAAAAAGCTTTTGTTGAAAGACGGCGCAAGGGGTGTGTACTGAGTACTGAGACATCGTCTAAGCTTTTCACCAGTCACAATGCACTGGGACAGCTAGCCAATCACAACACATTTCGTTTTTCGGAAGACGGACCTTCATCAAAGCCGGAACTAATCGAGCCGTTTGTGCCAGGCTGGGGAGAAAGGTATTTTAATCATGTAAATTATGTGAAAAAATTATGCGTTTTTCGAACCACCAAGCATGAGAGCATGTTCTAGTACACCCCCAAAACAAAATCAAGACTTTGTAAAAGAGCATAATAGGACCCCTTTAAAGGAATTCCTTAGCGTATTGCTGTTACTGTGGCAGCCAACAACAGCACAGTTTAACCCTCCACACACATTTTTATATTTAGTTATATTGAAAAAGTTTCAATTCAGTCGATGTTTTTTACCCTGTTTTAACATGGATTTCTATGGAGATCAGATGTAGCTGTTGGACAAGATGGCGGATAGCAGCGGCGGCACATAATATATCCACATTCTGATTGGTCAGACCCCCTGTCTATCATGCTCCCTGTGAATGGTAAATTGTGTAGTTGATCAAACAAACCAACATATTTAAAGGGTTAGTTCACCCAAAAATGAAAAGAAGATATTTTAAAGATTGTTGGTAAACAAATAGTTGCAGGTAGCCACTGACTTCCATAGTATTACATTTCTTTTTTCATACTATGAACGTCAATGGCTACTAGCAACTCTTTGGTTACTCACATTCTTCAAAATATCTTCTCTTGTGCTCAACATAAAAAAAATCATACAGGTTTGGAACTTGAGGGTGAGTAGATGATGACAGGATTTTCATTTTTGGTTGAACTATCATCATGACTATCAACTATCATGACTGCATGTCAGGCAGCACACACTTTGTTTACTATGAAGACATTTAAATGAAGGTAAAGGAGTTTCACCTGCCC